CAATGAAAAAAATACCTTAATTAGTGACACCATGGCCAAACGGTAGAGTTCTCCCTGCATACAGACCTTTTAGCTAACTTGTTCAGGTACTCTGAACAATGGACACACATTGATTGCAGTATTCCTGTAAACTTTCAAAATTCCATTAACAAATCAAATAATCTATCCTCATCTGTGAAGCAGGGCTTAGCTGAGTGGCACTAACAGATGCTCCTTGCTTACTGTGGGATGGCGCTAGGGTTATCCTGGTAACATAACTAACTGTAGTGGCAGGGCCAGTGTAAGGATTTTTTGGTACATAGACCTATGTGCCTCTTAACCAGCCCCTCTCCCCCTCTCCATCCATTAGTGGTCCCCTCCCTTCCCCATCCATTAGTGTTCCTCTTCCCTCCCCCCTCTTGCCCTGTGCCCTGGTGTTTCTCTCCCCTTTGCTCCCTGTCCCTTGGTGCACCTCCCACCCCCTTAATGGTCACACTCCCCTTCCTGGTTTGCCTCGTAACCTCTCTTGTAGCATTGCAGAGCGTAGCAGATTCCCAACAGGAGCTTCAGTTTTCTGTACCTAGCTGGACTGATAGCAAGAGCTCACTCAGTGAGCACCTGCTGTCAGTCTGGCCGGGTACAGGAAACAGAAGCTCCTGTACTGCGCTCCGCCACGCTACACTCAGTGGTGTATACACACTGACAGTCACACACACTCAATGACAAACACACAGACGTCACTGACAGACACAGACTCATTGATCTGACACACACTCATTCATTGAGAGACACACACACACTGACAAACACACACAGATTGACACTCATTGACCGACACTGATAGTCACACACACTCAATGACAAACATACTCTCACTAATTTGACAGACACTCACAAACAAACACTGACAGACACACACTCATACACTGACAAACACACACTCATACACTGACAGAAACACACTCGTACACTGACAGACACACTCATACACTCACATGCACACTCATACACACAATCATTCACAGACACACACACACTCACTCACTCACAGGCACACACACTCATAGACACTCACTCATAGACACACACTCGCTCACAGACACACATACACTCACTCACTGAGACACACTCACTCCCAGACACACACACTCCAACTCACACTCACACACAGACATACACTCACTAATTATTATTTTTATAAATAAACATTTCCCACCCAGCCTCCCTACCTGGAGTGCTAGCGTGGATCTGTCCCTGGGGTCCAGTGTGGCTGCTGGGAGGCTTGCAGCTGTGGTAAAATCAGAGGCGGTGAGGGAGCTCTAATCTCTCTGCTCTGCTTACCCGCGCGCCGTTTGCTGATGCCGGGATATGACATCATATTCTGGCTCCCGCGGCATTAGCAAACCATGCGCGAGGGAGCAGAGCAGGGAGATTAGAGCTACCTTGCAGCCTCTGATTATACCACAGCCACGCCAGGGTGTCCAGAACGTGGCTTGACAGGAAGGAGCGCTTCCCCCCGCCGGTCACTGAAATCTTGCGCCCCCAGAGCCGATGCGCCCTAAGGCGGCAGCCTGTGCCGCCTTATGGATGCGCCGGCCCTGTGTAGTGGTTGGACTCAGTGTTCCTCATAAACTGCATCAATTACTTTATATATCCTATGGAGTCAGTGTCCCTCATAATTTCAAGTCAATGGAGAAACCAGCACAACAATATAGTTTCAGATCCTGTTAAGCCAAAGTATTATCCAATTCTATTTAGTTACAATCTGTTATATCATAGCCATGTCAGAAAGCAGAGAAGTACCAGTCCACCACTAGTCAAAGGCAGGGCCGGATTAACATAGGGGCTGATGGAGCTCCAGCTCCAGGCCCAGGCCCATGGAATAGGCCCATTGATTTAAAAAATTATTTATTTTTTTTTTTACTTTTCACACTACTCTTAGGGATTCCATCTGGCTTTTATTTTATTGGCACAGGCAGTATTTGAGGCTGCCTGGCTGGTGCCAATATTGCAGTTATACTGGCAATCAGAATGCTGGTATTTTTCTCAGTATAAACAAGAGATTACTCTGCAATACCAGCACTGGCCAGTAGGGGTCGCTGTGTGTGTGAAGACAGGCAGGGATAGGAAGTTCCAGCATATCCCTCCCTGCCTATCTATACTCACTGATCTGCAGGGGTGCAGCTACAGAGGGTCCAGACAGCAACTCCCACCCTGCAGAGACAGCCTACAGCTCAGGGAAGTAAGGGATGGGGGAAAGGCTGCAAGGAGACATACACTGAGACACTAAGGGGCACTGGGAGACATTATGGCAGACACTGAGACACTAAGGGACATTGGGAGACATTATGGCAGACACTAAGGGACACTGGGAGACATGGGGCACTGAGACACTGATACATAGGAACACTGAGACCTGGAGTAATCGACACATGGGGGCACTGAGTCACGAGGGCACTGGGAGACATGGGGGCACTGGGAGGAATCCATCTATACAGCAGAATCAAACTAAGTAGTTTTTTTGGTGATTTTACAGCATTTTCTCTTATATCACTCCTTGTGATTTACCTCATGTGATGTCATCCATACATATTTAATTATGCAAATTAGTAAGGCTGGTATGTTTTTCCAAGAAAGGTGGCAACTCTAACTACTTTTCACATACTCTTACTTAAGTATGGAAACTTAAGTGGGATGTATGGGAACAAAACTTGTGTGGACTGGTTGACAATGAATATAGTTAAAGGGACACTGTAGTCACCAGAACAACTGCAGCTTATTGAATTTGTTCTGGTGAGTGGAATCATTACCGTCAGACTTTTTGCTGTAAACACTGTCTTTTCAGAGAAAATGCAGTGTTTACATTACAGCCTAGTGATAACTTCACTGGCCACTCCTTAGATGACTGTTAGAGATCCTTCCTGGGTCATGGCTGCCTAAAATGCATCCAAACATTCACTGTCTCCTCCCTCTGCATGCAGACACTGAACTTTCCTCATAGAGATTCATTGATTCAATGCATCTCTATGAGGAGATGCTGATTGGCCAGGGCTGTGTTTGAATCATACTGGCTCTGACCCTGATCTGCCTCTTTGTCATTCTCAGCTAATCCTATGGGGAAGCACTGTGATTGGATCAGGCCACCACTTCTAATGATGTCAGCAGACTGCTTGTTTTTATGAGTCTAACAGCATGCCGAGTTACAGCTTCAGGCTTGAATATAGATTTTGCTATATTTATGGAGGCATGAGGAGTCCAGGGGGGGCTAGATGGTGGTGTTAATACTATAGGGTCATGAATTCATGTTTGTGTTCCTGACCCTATAGTGATCCTTTAAGGTAATGCTGACTTTGGTCTCTAACACTGTGGCATGTTCCCTTTCTTCTACACTCACTACATACAGCTTTACTCTGTCCCAGACCATATACCAGGATCTTCTGCCTGCTAGTAAGAAGGTAAGGAGACAAGTGGACCAGCGAGTGCTAGGGGACAGTCCTTAGAAAGCGTTGAGTGAGCGCATCATTAGATGCATTTATGCCAAGCTCAGGGTGTTGTCTGCATAGTATGCCCTTAGTTGGGCAGCTGCATGATTGGCAGGCAGCCTGACATGCATTCATGTCAGACTGGCCTTCTAATTCTTTGAGCAGAAATGTCCTCTTTTTGGGCATGTTTGCCCGTTTTGGCAGGTTACGTGATTTGTGTCAGTGGCAAACCCTTTTACCGTGCCCATTGACTTCCTGCTTGATTGGACGTTGCTGTTAGGGGTTATGGATTTACTTGAAAGCTGAAAACATAAATTAGAGAGAGATTAGCCTAGGGTATGTGTTTTCTTATAGCTGTTGTTTTCTTTCTCTCCAGCACCATCTCCATCAGATACATGATGCTTATGAGTGTTTTACTGTTTTTGGTCGATATGATTCTGTAATTAGGCCCGTCATAATTGTCAGCACCAGGCCCACTGGGCTCTTAATCTGGCCCTGGTCAAAGGTTTCAACTGTAGTTGTTAAAGGGATACTCTAAGCACCAAAACAACTTAAAACTACTTAATGAAGCAGTTAGAGTGTATAGCTTATGCCCCTGCAGTCTCACTGATCAATTCTCTGTCTTTTAGGAGGTAAATCAGTCTTGTTTCTGTTTATAGCCAGACCTCCACTGGCTGTGAAAAAAGTCAACATGGAAAACAAAATAGTTTCATTCTCAATTAGATCTTACATCACAGTTGTGTTTACTTTAGAAGTTCTTGTTGTCTGCCTGTTAATTGAACTTTAATCACATACAGAAGGCTCCTGCAGGCTCTGGTATGCAACAATTGAGCAGGAGATAATACATTCTAAATGTATCAGACTGTGCAATAAAGGAAGTTTAAAAACTAGATCTTGTGTAAGGAGACTTTTTAACCCCTTTAGACCGGAGGGCGTACAACTACGCCCTATTATAGGCGGCTCTAAACGCCGCTGGGCGTAATTGTACACCCTCCGGTTTTTGCCTACTTACTCCGGTATTACAACAATGATATCGCCAGTAAAAGTGACGTTTTTTGCATTTTTCATGCACAAACAGCACTTACATGAACGATATTATTGCTGTGATACTTTTTACTGTTTTGAAACACAAATATTTGTGTTCAGCGAAGTCTCCCGAGTACAACAGTACCCCTCATGTACAGGTTTTATGGTGTTTACAAAAGTTACAGCGTCAAATATAAGGCTTGCGTTTCATTTTTTTCACATTCAAATTCGCCAGATTGGTTACGGTGCCTTTGAGACCCTATGGTAGCCCAAGAATGAAAATTACCCCTATGATGGCATACCATTTGCAATAGTAGACAACCCAAGGTATTGCAAACGGGGTATGTCCAGTCTTTTTAGTAGCCACTTAGTCACAAACACTGGCCAAAATTGGCGTTTTTTGCATTTTTCACACACAAACAAATACTAACGCTAACTTTGGCCAGTGTTTGTGACCAAATGGTTACTAAAAAAGACTGGACATACCCCATTTGCAATACCTTGGGTTGTCTACTATTGCAAATGGTATGCCAATATGGGTGTAAATTTCATTCCTGGGCTACTATACAGTCTCAAAGGCAACGTAGCCAATCTGGCGAATTTCAATTTCAAATGTAACGTGCTATATTTGACCCTGTAACTTCCCAAAACGCCATAAAACCTGTACATAGGGGGTACTGTTTTACACGTGAGACTTTGCTGAATAAAAATATGTGTATTTTATTGCAGTAAAAGCAAACAGTATTATGACATTGACAGTTAAAATGTCATGTAGAACTAAAAAAATTAAAAAAAAAATCTTATTTTCTCCCATTTGTTTTCATATTAAATTATGTTTCACATCTAAATATTTGATATTAAATTAAAGCCCTGTTTCCCCCGAATAAAATGATATATAATAAGGGTGGGTGCATTTACTATGAAATAGGTGAATTACGGTTGGACAGACATGTAGCGCAAATGCCAGGTTTTGTTTACATTTTGTTTCGTTCACGACGTGTACATTTGGCTCTGTCCTTAAGGGGTTAAGTCACATGCTGGGAAAGTGTGGCTAGGGCTGCATAAATAAAGTGATTTACATTTTAAACAGCAGTGAGACTGTAGAGGCTATATACCAAAACTAATTCATCAAACCATTTTTGCTTTGGTGCTTAGAGCAGTGACTCTGCAAGTTTATCTGCACAATTTTACCCTACCATTTTATCTGAACCATTCTGGTCAAAGCCCTTGTACTTGGAAACAAAAGTATTCTCTGCACTTCATGGTTTTATAAGGACTAGCTGAGTCTATTTTCTTAACTCTAAGATCTGATCATTTCGAGTAGTTCTGAAGCACATACACCCTGTTCCAAATTATTATGCAAATTATATTTTTCTAATTTACCTAAATCATTGATGTAAATAACAGTCAGCAAAATTCTCATGTTATCAACTATTAAGAGTATAATTCAATTTTTATTGAACAAACCTCCTAATGATAACAGTATTTTTTTTAAAACATAAAAAACTAACAATGCACTGTTCCAAATTATTACGCACAGAAAGTTTCAAAACACTTTATAGGTTGTAAAGAACTGACATTTGTCATTTGTTGTGTTTGCAGCATATTTACTGAAATCAAAAGCTATTTCAATCTAACTTATAACAACATTTTAACTTTTTAAACATTTTAACAGGTCACGTTACATTTTAACATAGGACCCCTTATTTGACAGCAGCTTCACAAGTCTTGCATCCATTGAACTTGTGAGTTTTTGGACAGTTTCTGCTTGAATTTGTTTGCAAGATGTCAGGATAGCCTCCTAGAGCTGCTGTTTGGATGTAAACTGCCTCCCACCCTCATAGATCTTTTGCTTGAGGATACTCCAAAGGTTCTCAATAGGATTGAGGTCAGGGGAGGATGGAGGCCACACCATGACTTTCTCTCCTTTTATCCCCATAGCAGCCATTGATGCAGAGGTACTCTTTGCAGCATGAGATGGTGCATTGTCATGCATGAAGATGATTTTATTACGGAAAGCATAGTTCTTCCTTCTGTACGAGGGAAGAAAGTGGTCAGTCAGAAACTCCACATACTTTGCAGAGGTCATCTTTACACCTTTACGCCGACCAGCTCTCTTTCCATGATTCTGGCCCAAAACATGACTCCACCACCACCTTGCTGATGTCGCAGCCTTGTTGGAACAGGGTGGCCATCCACCAACCATTCACTACTCCATCCATCTGGACCCTTCCAGGGTTGCACAGCACTCATCAGTGAACAGGACTGTTTGAAAATTAGTCTTTATGTATTTTTCTGCCCAATGCAGCCGTTTCTGCTCGTGAGCATTGGTTAGTGGTGGCCAATTAAAAGTTGCAAGACTCTGGAGGACTCTACACCTTGATGTCCGTGGGACTCCAGAGGCACCAGCAGCTTCAAATATCTGTTTGCTGCTATGTAATGGTATTTTAGCAGCTGCTCTCTTGATCCGATGCATGGATCTGGCAGAAATCTTCCTCAAAGTGCCTTTATCTGCACAAAACTGTTTGTGCTCTGAATCAGCCACAAATCTCTTAAGAGTGCGATGATCACGCTTAAGTTTTCGTGAAATAACTAATGTTTTCATACCTCGTTCAAGGCATTGAACTATTTCACTATTTTCGGCAGCAGAGAGTTCCTTTTTCTTCCCCATATTGCATGAAAATGGTGCTCTGCTTAATAATGTGGAACACCCTCCTTTAGTAGTTTTACCTTGGGCTCACCTGGCAATCTAATTATCACAGGTGTCCAAGATTGTTTTCAGTGATAAAAAGAGCCCTGAGACACAATGCCATCCATCAGTTAAACTGAAAAACTAAATATCTAATCTTTGTGACACTTTGTAATCTTTGTGACACTTAAATAGAATTTGCATAATAATTTGGAACAGGGTGTATATCCACAACAGACATGCAATTGTTCTTATATGATCTGGAAGAGTGCTACAGAAATATGCCTTACTCTCCTATTCTGTTCTAGCTTGTCAGAATGCTTCTTGGAAATGGCAAGAAGACTGTAGATTGTTGCCAAAGTGTCAGGCAGTGCAGGAGACATCTGTGCCCAAAGATCATCAGGATTACAAGCTGCACTACAATTATGGTGTCCACAGCCAACATGATAAATTCCTTTTTGTCCTACAAATTTGTTTTAGCCTTGTTATATCACACTATATAAACAGGGTCATCTTTAACGTGGGGCAAACGGGGCAGCTGCCCCGGGCCCAGTTACTCCTGGGGGGCCCAAGGCAGCTGCCCCGTGGGCCCGCTGCCTTCAACAATCTTTTTCCCCCGTCCTGTAAGCAGTCCCACCATGTGTGTGTGTGTCCATATGACTGTGTGTGTGTGTCAGTATGTCTGATAGTGTATGTATCTGTGTGTCAGTATGTCTGTGTGTGTATCAATATGTCTGGGTGTGTGTGTCAATACTTCTGTGTGAGTGTCCAGTATGTCTATCAGTGTATGTGTCTGTGTGTGTGTCAGTATGTCTATCAGTGTGTGTCAGAATGTCTGTATATGGCCTGTATGTATGTGTGTGTGTCAGTATGTCTGTCAGTGTGTGTCAGTACGTCTACCAGTGTATGTACCTATGTGTGTCAGTATGTCTGTCAGTGTATGTGCCTGTGTATCTGTATGTAGTCAGTGTGTGTATTTGTGTATCTGCATGTGTATCAGTGTGTGTACTTGTGCGTCTGAGCACCAACATTACATACAAACACACTCCTGCACTGAAATATCAACACTACATACAAACACACTCCTGCATTGAAACGTCAACACTACATACAAACACACCTGTGTTAAACACCAAATTATATATAAACAAACCCCTACATTCAATAACCAACACTACACATAAATGCACACTTGCATTTAATCTTCAACACCACATACAAACGCATTCACACAAGCATACTCCATACAAACACATGCTTTTATTCAAACACGGCTCAGTGCTAAATACAACCCTGCATACATGGGAAATTGGTAGAGCCCCAGCTGTCAAAGCATTGTTGGAGTTGCACAACAGAAAAGGTTCTACCTTTTGTCCAACCTTGCAATTGGGGGGCTACGTTGGGTTGGATGCCGTGATTGCATGCCAGGGAGTGGGGGGGAGGGGAGGCATGGTCCATGGGGCAAAAACAAATGCTTGCACAGGGTCAATCATTATTAAAGGCGGCCCTGTATATAAAGACCTGAATTCGGAAGACATTCTTATTTTTTGTGTTGTAATAACAATCTGCAGAACCTATGCTGCCAGCATTATGAAGATTTCATGTCTAGACCACTGGATCTGACAAATCTATAGAAAGAACAATTATGAATAGCAGGGTATCCCTGGTAATTAAAATCTGTGGTTAGTAGTTGGTGAGAAATTAGAACGTTTTAAGAGAAAAAGGTCCAGGCACTCCAGGGTATCAAAAAGGCAAATTTAATA